GAGAGGGGGGGGCAGGAGCATATTAGCCCGCCTATCCGGGAAAATTGCGGCCCTGCTCTATCTGTATATCTTCTTAGCAGGCACGATTCAAGCTAATTTCTCACCCGTTCCATTATTTATAACGTAATCGACTCGGCACTTAAGGGACCAATACACGCCTCTTTCTATCAGTTGGGAAGTGCAAGTTAGCCGTTAAGTTTGACCGGGCTAGCTGGTCGTTGCGCAGCTTATCGAGCTTTAAGCTAATTTCGAACTAACTCTAAGCTTTACCCGAAGGAGAGAGAGAAGGGCACACGCAGAGAATATTACATACTCGTCTCATTCGGATTAGACTATATTTATGAACGGAAAATTCTGACCGTTTTTATTTTACGATTTACCCTTTTTCATACTTCATGAGCAGTGTTCCCTGTAATTCTTGTTATATTAGTACGCGTGCATGAGAGGACGCTATTTGCTTTCCCACAATTTTCGACCAAAATTTACGAGCAATTTCACTTTAACTCGTAATGAATATGCAAATCGACATATATTGAAATATTTATCTCGGAGATGCTTGAGTGTATCAGATGGGACTTTTATTTCATTCTCCATACAGAGATGGACAAAACAAATATGCAATTTTGAAATAAAAAATATCTCTCTGAAAATACAATAAGATTAAAAAAAGTGTAATCTCCAGGAATTAATGTAGATTAATAGCATAAATTTTTTAGAGAGAATTAACAAACACAACGTTCTCTGCGAAGTATTGTGATAGACTCGCGCTGCAAGTGTGACGTGTCAGATTCTGTTCAGACTCTATGTATATTATTTCCGAATTGATAAAATGACATTTCGTCGCGTCAGTCTCTTGGCTATTCAAGGAGATCGACATGCAGTTCGCGCGATCACGCTCGCGTCAACTCCCACGCGGCCCTTTTCTATTTCGCCCTATATGACTAGTGCAGTGTCGATGGCAGCGGATAACGAAGACTGTCATCGTTCGCATCGTATTCTGCACAATTTCCGACTTCCTCTCGATAACCGCAACGGCGTTAATTAACCTGTATATAATTGATATCGGTGACTGCCCAATATCTGTCGACCGCGATAGCCACCAGATGCAATATCGAGGCTGTGCAACATAGAACGTCGCTGCTGGTCCACATGTCGCAGAGCTCCGGACCGAGGGACCATGCCGAGTTTATCTGCAATAAACAGAATTATCTATCATAGAGCGTGAGCTTAGCGCGGCGTGCGAGCGCAAGTGAGAAATCGATGCGGCCGCAAACTTGTACATGCAAATTGTACATCGAAATCTCTTAGAATAAGATAGATGCACCGATAAATATAGCCATCGTTACTTCTACGATTAAAATAGTAAAGATATATTAAAAAAAAAAAAACTTTTTAATCATTATATAATAATAAAGAATATGAAAAAAATTTAATTAACTAATTTTAAAAAATCTGTGTCTTAATTTATTTATTTTTTTGTCGATTTTTTTACATGATTTTTTTAAAAAATACTGTTTTATTTTGCAATCGATATCTTTAAGGACGTACAAATTACTACGTAAATGGAATTTATTTTTCTTCACGCTGAAACAGGAGTCGTGTGCGGTTGATTAGTATGTTAAGGATTGCACATAGTTTGGCGCGACAATTTTCCGCGCAGTAGGGAGCACGAGAAAATACGGAACGAGGGTCGAAAGGGAAAACATCCGAGCTAAGCCATGGTCGACCGAGGGACAACGGAGAGCATGGGAAGATAGTCGATAAGAGTGATGTTGTAGAAGTGTCAGCGAGAGAGCGGAGAGAAGGGAACTGATGCATGCCTGCTTAAAAGTCCATTCATGGTATTGGAATCTATCTTCGAAAGCCAATCGTCCCTTGTCCTCCTTTCAGCGCGCCGGCTCCTTCGCCCATAGACATCCGTTCCTTTATACTTTGAGATCAGAACATTCCGGAAGTTGATGAGTCGCATCTATCTCGTCGGAAATATAAACACCTCTCAAAAATAGTATCAATTGCACGGAGGTCAATAGAGGAGCGGTTTTAACGTTGGAAATTCGCGATAAGAGATAGCAATACGATTTATGTAAAACTGATTATGTGTGAGCTTTTATTCATTTTATTATATTTTAAAAGTTATTTATTACATATTTTGATTCTAACAACTTTTCGATTAAATCAATAACTGTATTTAAATCAGAGCATATATAATAGTGTCACAAAAATAAAAAAAAATGAAAATAACAATTTAAGTCACATTATTACCTTTACTTTTAATCACTTTTTAATAGAAGAAAAATCGCTTTTCCATTATTAAAAATAGCGAACAAGCATAAACGCAAATTTCATTGCTTCTTAGCCATTCTTTTTATATCGGGTATTTTCTGGAGTGCCCAAGGGTCTATAATCAAACGTCGCGTGTGTACGCGCAGTTAATGAAGTCGTTTGCGTGCCGCGTTTCTGATGTCCGCCGATAAACGCTAGGCGAAACGGGCGGTTGTAAAGCGGACATCCATCAATGCTGTTCGAATTAAACAGCAGACGTATAAATTTCTATGTGTCTGTGGTAAGAGGATGGATGTGCGCGTCTCAGAAATTTAGTATACGGCAGTAAAAATCGCTAATGTGTCTGCCGTTGCCTGAATAGCGATCGAAATAGAATTGCACCATTAAGCGGTAACGCGTAAGAGATATTGATACGCCAACAACAGCGAAAAGGCAGACTTAAGGGACGAGATAGAAAGACAGGAAGAGAGAGGGAGAAAGTCCTGCGTTGAAGACTGCAAAAAGCGAGAAGGAAGAATCGCAGGTGCACGTCGGAAAATATAGCGAGGGTGTGGAAATATAATATGAAGAAAAAGTAGAATAAAGGGGAAAAAAGTGCTGAGATAAGATACGTATAGAAGCACGTAAAAGGCAAGGCGAGATGTGAGAGGCAGCGTTAAGGAAACGGGGATCTAAATAAGAATAAATGTTGGCGAAAAGATTTCGCGGAGAGCTAGTGATGGCTGCTAATGGGCGTAATCAAGTTAAATGGATGTATCGTAGCGCGAAAAAGCGCGCGCAAGCACAAAAGGGCTTTTTTTTTTGTACATCGATTGCGATTGTAATCAAATCCGCATCATCGATGCGGATTTCCGCGTGTAATCTTGACATTTAGCAGTCCTGCCATATTTCAAAAAAGCGGAACGCGTATAAAAACGGAGATATGTTGAAATGATCACTCTCGGGCGTATTATCTCTCGGAGCAATTTCCGATGAAATCTTTGTTAATATAATAACGGCGGAGATAACGCGTCGGAAAGCGAAGCGCCTCGGTAATTAATGCTTGTGTTATTCCCATTACGTTGCAGTTTCTGTTTATTTACCAGCGTTTATTAAGTATAAATGTACCGGCGCAAAACACAGCGAGCTTCGATAGAGAATCGAAAGCTAATCATTCGTATGTACATACGCTATATCGCTTGTTATCTCTCTGTGTACTCGCACCTTAATTGTTGAATATGTATATGTGTAACGTTCTCCATCGCTTGCGTTTGCGCTCGGTACACAGAAAGAGATATCTTGGTATAGAAAACTGGTTTAGCTTTTAAAGGTGTCAGAGAGATCACAATCGCGCGACATTATGGTGTGATGTAATTTTAAGATTATGATACGCGTGAAATGTATGTATCGCGATCGAGATAAAATTCTAAGACCGGTAGTAAAATATCCATTAAAATTTTGCGTATATTTTCCTGAATACCGAACTATAATGTTGAATATTTATGCGCTGAATATTTATGCATTGAATATTTATACGTGATATACAATAAAATAGACTTTACCACAAATCTCATCGTGATTATTACACGCAATCGATTATAAATTCCACTGCAATTTTTAGGAATTTCTCCAGTATTAATAAATCCTTGTTAAATTTTTTTCTATAATTCCTATTTTCTGAAGATATATATAATTCATATTTTTTTGCAGTTATTTATACTACTGGAATTTTAGGTGAAAATTTGTGGAGCTTGAACATAATAAATTACTGCAGTTGATGCATCGCGCTTGGCTAGTTCTCAGAATTTTTTGCCGACGTCACGGTCAATGTAAAATACATAATTAGCAAACTTTTTAAAATGAAAGAATTTAGCGTTTAAATGCCAAATTCTCGAGGAATGCGCGTGCCGTTTCTCCACATGGCAATTTACCAAAACACAATGTGCGCGCAAAGCCGTAGAAGAAACGGGTATGAATGTGTGCAATTTCTTACGGATGTTATAAAGTTGTGAATAGCCGCAACGGACCATAGATGAAAGTTTAACAATGAAAGTGTAACACGTGAAAAGAGAGTGATACTCTATGTGCGAAAAGAATGGCCAGGACTCTCTTGACTGTTCCATCGAAAAACTCGTAAAAGTTTTATCTCGCGAGTGCCGTTTGTGTGTAGTAAAATTAATACTGTATATTTCAATATATTATAGATATGACATTTTCACCGAAAATATCTTAAACAGATTTTCAATAGAAAATTTAACATTTCTAGCCCATTAATTTTCAAAAATTAATATTCTATATTTTATTACAATTTTACATTGCAATTTTGTAGAGATAGACGAGATATACAAGGTATGTGCGATATTTCGGGATTTTTACCATTTTTGCGTTGAAATGATAGTTATTACATCGATAGCGTTGATTGAGATAGATAAATATCTTTTTCAATGCATATCTCGTTTTTACAAATATCGTATGTATTCATATTCTCGCATATGCAGCGCCAAGAATTTTACGCGGGACAATTTTATTCATGCGCGACAACTTCACATATGTGGTACAACTCATTTGCGGCGCGGGCGGATGGCACGGCAATAATCTGCAGATTTTTTAATAGTTTGGTAAGTTATTGCACATACCTCATAAACAGCTCCGAGAGGCATAACGAGACAAGCGACCATAAGATCCGCGACAGCCAAACTGACGATTAAGTAATTTGCCACGGATTGCAAATTTCGCTCCAACAGAATAGCTGCTATCACGAACAGATTCCCTGCAACAAGAACATATAGATGCATAATCCATTCAACAACATACTGTTCACTCGTGTTATATGTACAAATGCACATTTGATGTACGAGATCATTAACAGGGATTTAATTTGTTAAACGATGAAATGGATAACAAGTAATGTATAGGTTATCAATTCTGTGATCATAGGTTATGTCTTGCAGAGTGTCCCATGAGAAGTTGCTGAACGTAAAATATTATCTTTAGTTTGTTGGTTATGTAAATAAAACTGCAAAATGCCCTCTGTTAGAAGATATTTTATTTTTCTTGTTCCCTATGTGCGTTTAAATCTGACAGCTAATTAGTTTCAGCAATTTCCCATGGGACACTGTATAATTTCTTATAAATTAATTCACAACTTTAAAATTCTAGACAAGTTATCAAGCGATATTGCTTAAATTCTGGAAATTGTGAAAGATTTTGTCTTAGATTTATATTATTTTCTGCGCGTAATTCTTATATTAGACGCTAATTTGAGAAATATATATCGTAATTTCTAATATGTCTAAATATATCTAAACAAAACATTCGTTGATTCTTATGTCGTTCTTTTCAAACATGTTATATATTTTTCATAACAAGCCTAATCTGAAATAATTGACAATACAAATAATTTTATTACTAGATTTATGCTAGATAGATAGTGCTAGATAGATAGATGCTGTTAGATATGCTAGTAGAGAATGTTGCCGCTAGAGAATGTTACTGCGTCCCATGGGCGCACGAAGTTAACTGCAATGACTTTGAGACTAAATTCCGAAAGCCTTGACTAGTTCAAGCGCGTCGCAAAGTCAAAGTCGAATTACGGTCGCTGTGTTCTCTTTTCTGTTCTGGATTCCACGGTACAAACAAGTAGTAAGAGTATCGAATCTAGCGATGTGCGATTGTCTCAGTATATTAATTGATTTACGTAAGCGCGATTAATCACTTTTAATATTCACAATCGACGCTCGTTGTATCGTGCGTTGTAAAAAGCTTTGTTTCACTTTTTCATTTGTTTCGCTTATTTTGCAGCATTTTATACATTTTGCGAGCATCATGATTGCCGTTCAGCATCGGAAATATCGAAGAACAACGAGAAACGTCGAGTGGAGGAACCACCGCTGTGGGGAATCGAATGAGATAAGTGATTGCGTTTGCCTACGAGATTTTTATAGGTTATTCGCGCGGATTGACTATGATGCGGCAACTTTGCTCTGCGAGTTTTTGCGCTGAGAGCGCGTCGCGTATAATAAATCGAAAGTACCGAATGAATCTACCGGATATTGTTTCAGTTTGTTCGTATTAATCCGCTCAATCGTGATTTTCGATGTTCGTGATCGATGTCGATCGTGTATCGTCGGATTGCTGTTTTAAATTGAAAAATTTTATATATGTATTTTGCATTGTTTGGAAGTGTACCGAGGACGCGTTGTGCGCGATAAGTCGGGAGTGTCGAGAAGTTTACGGGCGATTGTTCTTAGTGTATTAATTAACCCGCTTGATCGTAATTATCGCTTAATCGATGTCGGTCGCTTTAGTCGGATCAAAAAGTGTATCTCTTGTATCATTTTATTCTGCGCGTTTCGTGTTATTCGGGAGTGTGAACGAGAAAAATGTGTATATTGTCAGTGCATCAAGGAACGAGCATCAGCATCGACGATCAAGCATCAGACGATCCGTCGAGGGAGATAATGCTGCTCATCTACGAGATCCAAGGTGAGTGATTATTGTTTAATAATTTTTTAATATGCTTATTGCGCACAATGTAAAATTTGCAATGCAAAAATACGAACATATTCTCTTTCTATCGACTACAAATTTTCTGCCATTAATATGAATAATAAATGAAACTTTTTTAAGTTGTTTGAAACTGTAAACAAGATTAGAAATCTGTCTGTCGATGAGCAATTTTTTTTTAAACTTATTTTTAAAATCTTTGCATAAAAGACGATAAAAGTCTGTTATCGGTGCAGTAATTTCTGCGAAATAGTATGTTGGGGGATAGCGCGATAATTGCGAAGTCGTTAAGTAAATTGAGATCGCGTATGCTTGTCGCGCTTTCGACTCTTTAATAATGGTTCTATAATTGGCACTGCAAGGGGCAAATTCGGGCTAGTCGCCATCAATTTCGACGGCATGCCTGAATAGCGGCAATCAAGTTCGGCAAACTCGGGGATAGTTGAAATCAGTCGTATGTTCCTAGACGTACGTTTTGGGCGTGCAAAACGATGAATCGATCGTACGCATATTTACGAAATTTATCCAAGTTTGGTGAACCACCACTGTTTCTCGATTCGTATCGAGTTTTCGTGTTTTCGGAACAATACGGCGCAGTTAGGGAGGTTGAGTGCTTCGGTTATGCGATGTGTACGCGAGGGTCAGCCGATGGAAGGCTGCAGGCAAGAAACGTGCAACGTTCTGGGATCGTCGGACAGTCTCTTGAAAAATTTCTCTCTCGAGATGAGAAGGAGAATAAATAGTTTTGCAAGGGGAGAGCGTTTTAGATTGATGCATTTGCAAAAAAGTTCATATTTTTTCGACATTAGTAATTTAAAAATTTTTAAATTAATAGCTAAAAAATACGAGCACGTAAAATAGATATTATTAGAAAATCCATATTAGAATTTTTATCTAATAAAAAAAATTTTTTTTAAATAATGTTTAAATGTCATTTAAAAAAAAAAGACATTTATAAAGAAAATAGTGTACATTTATAATAAAAAAATATAGTTAACTCGTAAATTAAAGAAATCTGAGTAGATCACAAGTGCAGTCTTTTTTTTAACGTGATAGTGTAACTTAAAGTTAAACTGCTTGGTAATCAGAATTTTCAAATTCACATGATTCCCTTGTATAAAAGGAATTCATGTATTAGTAACGCAATGTTACATCCATGTATTACGTAAACGTGCTCGACTGCCGCTGGTTTAAGCGTATTTAAGGGAAGTAGATAGAAGCTCGAGGTATCGTGCACTACGTTTGCGAGGATATTACATCGCGCTGATGTACGCTGTTCTCCGTACCATAGTACTTCATGTCCCTCATTTCGCCTGGATAGCCAATGTTCCCTCCGATTTTTCACGAAGCGTGTACGAAAGAAATTACGTCACCGTTGTTTATAGCAGAATAAAAATAAATAAAGGTATAACATCGCGTCTTCAAGAAATAATGAGTTTACAAATATTTATAACATAATCATAATTAATAAATTTTTAATTAAGTAATAACAATTAACGTATTAAATAAAATAAAGTAACAATATCAGATGAAGTAATTACAAATTTGAAAAGTATTTTTGTGTCAATATTATCCAACTGGATTTTTTAATGAAAAGTAATAGTAGCGAAGTAATAGTTTTAAAAGTAAGAGAAACGATGGCTAAGTCTCCAAGCCTCCGAAGGCAAGATAACAATCGAGGTGCGTACTAATTGAATTTAATTCTCATGAGGGACGACAATAGACTCTGCTTAAATTAGAGAGTGAGTTAACTCAGTGGAACGATCGGGGCCACGTAATTCGGTACTTTCTCTTACTTTACCTATCTACCTTTAACGCCCGTAAGTCGACACGAATGTTCGACAGGACTAGACTCGTAATTCTACAAATGTCGTACAAATTTCTTCCCTTTCGCGTCCATTAGTTTCGCATTACGTGTCTGCAAATACACAGCCTCCTCGATGGTTGTATATGGCTTAGAGAGACACAACGTCGAGGACAGCGGAGACGCGCGTGTACCAAATGCATCCCGACTCAGCTGCAGCTGCAGCCGGGATGTCTTCACGAGAAAAGTATAACCGTCACGGTTGCGAGGCGAAATAAAAGATAAAAGAAATGCGCGCGGGACATTTTACTTTGACGTAATTAACTCCCACGAAGAAAAGGGGAACCGGGACCGAGAGATGTTTTAGCGCACCGAGGATCTAAACGCTTTCACTCTCGCACTCCATTAAGAAGTGTATTTGTAACGCGAAAAAAAAGAGCTCGCATCCGAAGCTTTAATATACGGATAAGCTGCGAGGGGTTGCGAGTAGACACGCGCGCTGCGACTTGTTTGTCAAGAAATAACTTACAGTCTGCAGTTTTTAATCTGTCCCGGCGCTGCGTTAAACCTGGCTTGACGCCACAGTTCTTCACCGAGTTTTTTATTAAGGATATCTCAACGAAGAAATTTTATAATGCTTTCGTATATGTATCCATTGTGTGTCAGACGATAAATAATATCTTTTTATATTCACTATAAATATTATCATATATTTATATTTTGATAAATTAAACAAATGAGATCTAGTGATATAAATAAATATATAAAAATAAATTCACTCTTTTTTTCTTCTTTGAAATACTTTTAAGACAAAGTATTTTTAGCGCACCGAAAATTTTAAAATTAAAATTTATTATTATTATTGCATTAATTTGAAATTGTAAAAAGAAAATCGTAAAAATCTTTTACTATCATTCAAATTTATTCTGATTGCTACGAATGTTTTGTGAGATTCAAAATGTCAGCATGTTAAATATTAACATCAGTATCAACCGGTTTTAATTCCCAAATGCATTGAAAAAACGGAAAAAAAATAATCCACGTTATCGCAGGCCGTAGCGATAGCGTTTATTTTCACCCATGGGACAGTTACTATGCATTATTGCGAGTGCACTTTTGAAAATATCGCAAAGCCGAGATGCAATGAGTGATTTAAATCGACATAGTTTTTTTGAATAGCGAAAAGATTTGCAGGATGAAAAGGGGTATTAAGCGTCGAAAGCATTAATCTTTTTGTCCGAAACCCGAATTGCGCTCTACCGGCCAAAACAGAGATTTCGCGGCGTTCGAATTGCATGTAAAGAAAGAACGAATGATACGAAAAATTCGTCGGACTCGTGCAAACGAGTTTGTTGAGAGAACAAGAAATTATACCGCAAGTCTTCTCGACGTGAATAATGAGAGTTCTCGGGAATGACAAATGGAGATCATGCATCAAAATAGATGGTTTTGAGTTGAAAAGATTATTTTTGGATTCTTTGTTAGCGCATAAAAGAATTTTTTCCTTGGTAATAAATTTAACATTGCGCACAAAAAATTCTTTAGGACGCTTTAGATTATAATTGACGCAGTGTCATGCTAGATATTCCAAATTTATCCGCTGCGCACTGTCCTTCGTGCAAATTTATCCTTCGCGGCATCCCACATGTGTCTCTCATGATCTTTAAGTGCGCGGTTCAACACCTACGTTAGCCATTCGGCTTGTGACGTCGAAGTGGAAGTGATGTATAATTTATTTCTGCAGTCTACCTCGGGATAAATGAATTTCTCCACACGACCACACACGGTCGATGTATAACGGGTCTGTAAAATGTGTCGAAAACTGTGGTTATGGCTGGTTATTCAATAAATGGTGTAACTTGTTTTCGTTGCGGTACCATAGAACAGATTTGAATTGAATTATACAGCCGTTTATTGATTAACGAACCAAAATCGGAATCGACATATGTTACAACTTCTCTTTATCAATCGCGACTGTTGTCATGCGCGCGAAACTCATTTATTTTAGAGCACAGCGACGCGTAAATAAATTACACATATTATACTTGCTTTTGACGTCATAGCGGGAGCCGTAAAATTAAGCTGCGTGACAATAAAAAATAATTCATATTTTTACGTTTATAATGATCAAAGCATTTTTTTTTATTTTTACTGCAGACTAAGACGATGTTTTTTATTTAATTTTTCATTGAAAATGCAGCCTCAGATATGCAGCATCTTAAGACGATAACTATCGAAAATATCTGATTACGTCTTCGTGAAGGGTTGTGTGTTCGCATCGCATCGTTTAACCTTTATTGGAAGGGCAAGGTAACACATTCAGTTCGCGTCGGCGGTCTAACCTATCGGTTTGCTTATTTTTTTTATGAACGAACGAGATGCCTGTCAACATCGTATACATAATATGCGTCAAGAAATCTGTCTCTTAAATTTATCTGATAAAGTTTTATTTTTTCTGAAAAAGATTTAACGCTGGTAATTTAATTAAGGCAAAATATAATGCTAGTAATTTAATTAAGTGCACTTGCTACAGTATACTGTGCGTATTTCTACAAAATAAATATTTTTATTTTAAAATTATTCTTATGATTTTAACACTTCTAAATAAAAATTATGAAGTGTTATTATATTCTCATGGTGCGTACTATAAATAATAGCATTATAATACGTAAATGTTCAAGCTATATAATGTCTGTCAATTTTTATTTTCTACTATATATAATAGACAATATATAATAGGTATTAAATAATTTTTCCAAAGTTTTTTACGTTGTTATCACATATTTAAAAAAAATAAATTTTTAATTTAAAGTACTAAAGGAAAAATAAAAATTCAAGTGATTTATCTGGTATAAATATAGATAGTATGCCATGGCCGGTGCATTTACTTAAATCATTAGCATTATTATATTTATTTTAATTAAACTACCAATATTAAATTTAAAAAAATTTTTTTAATTTAAATCATTTTGTCGTTAGATCTCTGTAAATAATTGTCTCTGATTCCATGCATTTGTCCGGATGTAGTCAATTACTTTCACGTGCGTTCGAATGGCGAACGCGAGCTGTGCGCGAAATCACGCGTTCCGCTTGTTCGCGTTCTCGAAAAGAGGCAAACGAATCCAAACGATGCAACACGCTACATTCGAGGAGTTTCGCTCGATTTGCAGCGAGTATTGTGACCGGGGTGATTATTTAATTCACATTTGCGCAACGATATTCACGGTCTTGTGCCTCACCAAGCGTTCATAAAATTTACCCTACACATTGAGGTAGAGGGAGAGAGCGAGAGCAAGCGTATCCACGGCAGCTGACGTCATGTTCAACGAACCGTTAGTTAGCCAGTGAACTATACTAATACCGGAATGCGCTCCGAGCCTGTCAAGTCGCTAAGGGGACCTGTATGTGTGTGTTTGCGAGAATATATACAACAGCTGCCGGCGGATCTCTTTCGCATCTCTCTTGGTTACATCGCTATCCACCTACAACGTTACAGTGGTGCGATAAACTTACCTGTTTTCCGACAACTTTTATCTGTATTCTCTTCTGTGAGATATACGGGTCCACCGGGAACCCGGAGATGTTCACGGATTTATTTTGCGAGACTTAATAGCTGGCGAGAATATTGGCGCCGGCATTGCCGATGCAAAGTCAGGTCTTAGCGGTGCTCGCGTTGTAAATAAACGACGTTAATAATACTTTACGAGGCGATATCTGCATTAAAATATCGTTAGCATCAACAACATGTGATGGAAGAATTTCTGGTGTAATAAATTTATATACCAGATACCAAAATAATTCTAATGAAAGCAATTAAATTATGAATAATTTTCTTACGTATTTATATGCAACGTGCCAAGGAATTGACGATTTGACTCTGAAATTACAAACGAAATGTGAGGAACAAGGTTTTGATAATTATTTATATTTCGAAGCTTTTATGATTCGCTTTTAAGTATTCTTTACTTTCAAAAACTTACAATTTGAAAATTATTTTACAAGGAAAACAACTTTGCGTATTCACTTTACATCAATCTTAGAATATTTTGCATAATAATCGTAGAAATATTAATCACCGGCTGACTGACCACATTTTCGACAAATACCGATCAAAGTTCGCGCAAGTCATTCATCACGCGTTATATCTACATTAAAACGTTTTTGGTATTAATGATCGATCAGAGATTTCGGTATTAAGATGCCCTGTTATTCTCGGTATTGTTCCTGGGAGGGAAAACCACACAGAATGCAGCAGGAAAAGGTTGTAGCTCGATACAAGTCGCGAAGCGGAATGTCAGCTCGCGGAGAATCCTGTTTACGCAAAGCATGCGGCTGGATATCAGCGCGCGATTACCGTCACCGCTCGGTGATATATTATACACTTTGGAGATGTGTCAGTTCTTCAGAGTAACCTTTGCCATTGTCTCCGTCGGCAGATATGACCGATGGATGGTCGGTTTCGCGAAACCGTCATTGACGGCGCCGGCGATTAATCGGGGATAGAGTTACTTGGCGCTTGACGGCATATAATTACGGCAAGAAGAACGATTAATCGACGCAGTGGGATCGATTGCGTCGCGGACGCTGTTCGGCCGGAAGTTTAGCTCGCAAAAGGAAACGACTTGCTGAATTCGGGTCGGTAATTTTCATTAATTACCGTCGAGAGCGTCCGAATGAGAGAGTGATAGTCTAAATGATTGGTCCGATTGAATTAAAGCGTGGATTTCTGCCTTTTCTTAGATTTCAGCTTGAATGAGCCGATTCATTATCGATTTAGCAGCGGTAATAAAATCGCTTATTCATCAAAATGTCTTTCTATTCATTGCTGATTTATTAAAAAATTGCTTAGTCATTACGACTGCTAGTATTTATTGCAATTCTTGCAATAAGAAAAAGACTAGAAATAAGATGTAATGTAACATTTAATTGCATTAATATAAATGACTTATAATATAATAATAACTATTATATAATATAATAATATAATATAATATAATGTAATATTATATTATATAATGACTATTGAGGAAAAGATAATTTTGAAATGGTTCAAGAGATTATTTTCTTGAATTTTGAAAGATACTAACACACATTTTTATTTAATATGGTAAATATACGATATTTTACAATCGTCTAGAAGAGATATTTGTAAGAAACAATTCGTAGAAAATCAATGACTTTAATCATTGAAAGCGCCAGCGTCGTTACCAGACTTTTTTAAAGTTTTACATCGCGAATTAATTCAAGATTTAGACCGACCATGACTTACGTTTGCTGATGTTAAGACGCTTGATGTTATTTTAATGGGTATAATCGACCAGTTAAAACATAGAATAGCTCGTAAAAACATTGCTAAATCTTATATGTGTTTTAATTTCTCTCACATTTGTATCGTTACGCAAATTTAGTACATTCAGTGTTCCGTTGATCTTTCGCATTATCAGGAAATAAATAACGTGTGTTAGAAGCCGCGCGGTTTTACAGTACGACCCGTGCCAGCATTCAGCGAGAAATATTGTCTCACGTTACACGAGTGTTTTATCCGGAAGTGAGTCTGCCATTTTCATTGAATTAAAAAAACAAAGTTAAAATATCGTGTAACGTAATGTACATTCGCGGTACGAGAGAACCGCCAGTGGCGTGTTATTTATTCAATTACGATTTTTGTTCTCTTGTTTTCCAGCATGCTTTACAAGTTTGTACAGTGATAATCAGTTGTGAATACCGCGCGCAAAAAGTCGCGGCCATAAAAATCTTCAAGGTGAACGTTTCCAGGATATGAAAAGAGTTTTGAAGGATCTCGGCTTAAAATGGTCGTGTATCGCAAACTTTTTACGAAACTGCTAAAAATGCGCAAAAAATGCGAAACTACATATTGCTTGTGAAATACAAGCTATACTTCTCAATTTCAGCGTATCGACTCGCGTATCAATATTCAATAGTAAATGCAAGCAACTGAATGGATGAACAAATTTGTATAAAGCTCAAATATTCTATTTATATCACTTTTAAATATCAATGTAACACAAAAAATTCCATAGAATTCTAGCAACAAATATCAACCACTATCAAAAAATATTTTATAATTTCTTTTACAGCTTTAAAATTACCTTTTTATAAAATCAAATTTTTTTGAAAAATAGAGAACAATAGAGGAAATTTTTTGCGAACATTAATTCGAGGCTCAATCGTTAAAATGGTGTGGAAAATTACGAGCAACTTTCTTTCCGTGTAATCAAAATCGTAGCAAATAAATAAAACAGTGGACTTACCTACGATTGTGATGAGAATCAGGAGACAGAGAACGATAGCTCTTAAGATAATTGGTGCATCGATGATGAAAACTGAATCTTCCACGTCGGTTGTATTCGTGGCTTGATTGACGTGGGCCTCCATCGTAGCTAAAATGTATTTCCCGTCTTCAGTGTCCGCTATTCATCATCTGGTTAAATAATGTATCATCGTCCGCCCTCGTTAAAGCGGGTTCGAAGTTTTTTTCCTCGTTCTCGTCAGACGTGGTGGAGTCAGCACCTGGCCGATAAACGTCGGTTACTCCTCTCGTACTCTTCCATCTCTATCTCAGAATTTCTCGCAGTCCCCATTTTCCGCAATTTTCTGCTTCGAGACTCCATGGACTTTGAGACGCAGGTTTTTTTTGCGGGATGTCAGTTCTTTCGTACGTCTGAAACGGGAAAAAAGAATTCAGACTCTGATAAAATGTTACTTTTACGGATGATTTTGTATTGGAGAAAAATCTTTTCATTCACAAATCTGATGGTGAATAAACATGATAGATTTCTCAGAAATATATAGGTTTCTGAAATAATTTTTAAGTTATTACAAGGATATTTTTGTATAAAAACGCTCTTTATCATTTAATTTATGACGCAATTACAATATTGAGTTTCATGTTAAATGTAAGTTTCGTGAGAACTATGGTACGCGATCGAGCGAATGTGCGAGGCGTCACGTTTATGTTAGCCCGCGAAACCAATGAAATTGGAACAATCGATCAGCAATTATCGGGATTGTAACGGCCAACTACCGCAATCGACTTTAATAATGAATCCGCGGCGTTGCGCGAAAAATAGATGCGTTTACAACAAACGCCAGTCGTGAAATTGCCTTAGGAGGTCGTATGCACTCTATTAAATTTTCCGATAGTGTCGGAACGTTTCATTAACTTGAATTCACCAGAACCTACTCGCCATTTGGTTTAAACTGATTGAATTTCCAGGCGAATAGCGCTCACGTTTGATAGCGTCGCCGATATACTGTAACAAGTTCATGGTTTTGCCTGTGGTTCGTTACACAATTTTATTATTTCAATGAATTACAAATGATTTTATCGGAATATAAATTTTCAAGGAGATTAGACTGAAATTTTATCCTATTCCGTCTTGCTTGAGGTCCACGTTTCATGAACTGCGTATATCATAGTATGAATACATAATTGTAATTAAAGATTTGCATTTTAAACAAGATAACTTTAATATTACGCAAGTTTTAAAACAAAAAGAAGGATTGATATTTCATTTAGCTTTCAATTTTCAGTTTTAATTTCTTTTTGTAAAATAGCACACTTGTAAACTTTTTCTAGATGTTGAAATTATTAATATAAAAAAATAATATAATATTTTAAAAGTCAAAAAGAGATATTTTTATTCTGCTATAAATTCTTTAAACTCATTAAAAATGTAAGATTAAAAATAATATTCAAGAAATCTTTTTCACGTAGATCTAAAAAGGTTAAATACATTCTCGCGAGAGCTCTCATTTTTCTCACGACGAAGAATTTGTCTCGTAGTGATTGTTGCCATGGTGGCTTTTTGCGCTCGCGACCAACCGTCAAGATCTGAAAGTTTTATTCCCACCGCATGACGCAAATCCCACGTATTCTCTACCAGCAACCAAAAAATATCTTGCCCTACGGCTCTCTTCTTCATCACCATTTTTCGGTGCTCATTCGTCCGACGGGGACCGAAAAACAATCGTTTTCTCACAAAGAAGAAGTATCTGGCGACCAACTTTCTAACAAGCCAGCGTCGTCCGAGAAAAAACTCGGAAGCGTGCAAAAGCGTGGCGTCTATTTGCGAAAACTTCAAAAAGGAACCGGAAAAACGAGTGTTTATGATCGCGGAATAAAAGCTAATCCAGCAAGCTTTTGCATACAACGTTTACGCTGTTAATATTTTAACTAAGAGAATCGTGCGTGGGTATTGATCCATCAGCGTGTAATGAGCTTTGCAAATCGTATGCTCGGTATCGAAGCTTTCGACTCTCTCGGCAACAAAGGGGATCTTCATTGTCTCATTGTAATATGTCAATCATCTCTGTAACAATGAGTTTTTAGTTTCATTAATTATAAGTGTAATAAAAATTACGATTGGATCGAATTGAGAGAGAGGGAGGGAAAAATAAAAGTTATATCGCGAAAGTAAAATATTTAACGTGAGAAGAGAAAACAAGCTTTTTTTTTAATTTATACAACGTTATTGTAGAATGTAGTAACAGATACAGAAAGTTTACTATTGTTGGGACGTGATAAGCGCGCCAGCGAAGTAACTCTTGAAATTTCATTTCCTCAACGATCCACTTCTCCGCAAGATATAAAAATTGCATTTTATAGCTCCTATAAAATCTTCCTTTCCCGCAGTGATGCAATCACGATACTGCGAAAATGCCACTGTAATAGCCGGCCGGGAGAAAAAAAACAATGGTGAAAATTACGGAAAATTTGCGTGTCTCCTAGGAGCGTCATTCTCCGTGATTAAATATTTTATTCATTCAGACGCGTGAGAGTTAATTTGAATTTCTATAATGGAAAGCAGGCTTTTCCCCCCATTGTGCAATGCAATTTTTATATCTTAATGAAAAACCGTTGAAACGCGAAAGGATTTACGAAATACGGGGTTGAGGGAATTTTTGTTTCGTATAAAGTGACCACTCCGTATAACATAAACCATTTTTAAATCCTATTAATTTAGGAACAATTATTTGAGAGAAGACTAATATAGGAAAGAGCGTTCATCAATTCGCCGAAAATTAATTTTTTGTACCTTGAAAATCGTTGATAGAGCTTTCCGGAAACAAATTAAACTTGTGTCGATTATCTTGCATAATCTCTTCAGCGTCTCATGCAGCAAAAGAAGCACATTTCTTTCACCATTAGATTGTTAGGAAAATTTGTCGTCCTTCAAATTCATCCATTAATCTATCGCGTGTGATTTTATCGAAAACTGGAAATGGCGCAAGGAAAATCTGCCCGATGAATCACGTTTAGTCGCGCGTTACGGTAGACATTGTCCGCCCAATAAACCAGAATTGCGCGAATACTCGCGGTGGTCGTTTGCATGCGGGGACCATCGGGAACCGTCGGCCGCCAAATCTCGTCGTATTTTGGCCAATTCAAAATTGAAAGTGCAGGCGCACGTAGCAGTTCCCGCGCGAGCGGCGTGTATATATACATTTCACAATAGCGAATGCATTTATCACGAGTAGAAAACTACGGCTCTCAGTCGCGCTCGAAACTCCATAAAATCCACGTCGGTGGTGGTGGTGGGAAACGGAGGAGGAGTACCACCGAGTTACTCCGGCAAGATTGCAGAGAGTAGAAGGAGAAGGAGGAACGAGAGAGGAAGAATCGACACGTCGGAAATCTATTTCTGGGAAAAGAAAAGCCCGGGCAAACTGTTACGCGATTAAATCGCGAGCTGCCAGCGGAGATCCTCGAAATGCACGATCGTTTGCCTTCGATTCAAGACGACCGAATCTCGCCGACGGAGACGTCTTCGTCATGGCTCTTCTTCGTTTCTCTCGGCTCTCTCGATTCTCCTTCGGTATAAAAAAAAAATAAAAAGAAAAAAATGAAACCGCGTTGACGAGGAACCGATCTTTCCTCGAAGAAGTAAAAAGGTTTTTCGTGGTTTTAAAGTTTATGGCCAGTCACAAGCAAAAAGTGAGCAGTGACCTTTTTCCGGAACGGTGCCTGTGACAGTTCGATAGGGTCTAGCAATTTCGATAAGGCCGTAGCACTAGCAGTTTAAGTGTTACGTTTTGAATGTTCAATTGTTTTTTTGATAAAAAATAAAATATGAATTAGATTGAAAAATAATATTATAATTTATATTTTGAAGCATTAATTAGTAGTAAATTTGTACGCGTCATAACGATTAAAGAAAATATGATTACTAGTAAATATTCTACTGTTCTACTGTAGAGAGGTAATCAATATTATTTGTTTCCGCCCCGTGATATTGATATAATGCCTCATTTACATTTACGTCAGTTCTCATTCATTCTCCATATATATAGATACATGATAATTGCGAGATCTATACGTCACGTTTGGCAGAGAATCAAATACGAATGTCTCGTAAATCTACGTGTGTGACACAAACTTTTACCAGACTTTTCATATGATTTTTTTTTTATCTTTTCCATTAGAAGATTTCTATGTCTGAAATTCAGAAATAAAAGTAGACGCCCTTGTAAGTAGAGTGCACGTTGTATTTACGACGCCGTAGCGTCGTCCATTATCCGGGGCTCCTACTGCGTTCCATTAGTCCCGTGTAACTAACTTCTTCAGCTTCCAAGGATTTCACGCTGAACCGTGCTTATAGGATCAAAAGATTAGGTCCACGCATTACACCTGATATATATATATATATATACATATACACAATATACATACAGTGCGCGCGGCGAGGAACTTTAAACTCATTTGCAAATCCAGGAAAGCACCAAATTTTGTTGTATCGCCGTCGATTTTCAAGTGTTAAAAGAATATAGCTGTTTGAAACCTGGCGAAACACAGCAGGGAAACGAAACAGTTAAAAAAAAAAGTTGAAAAAAAAAAACGACCGAGCGAGGAAAAAAGAAAGTAACGGATTTTACGTAATTATGCAATCTAGGATAGTATGCATTCTACGCCTATTTCTTCTGTAATGTTTGGAATTTTTCCATCCTAACTTAAAATATGCAGGAGGTATATGCGCCTACATAGTTATGCAAGAAGATATTAATATTTAAAAAATTTTAACGCCCTTAAATGGAGCAGTAACAAAAGCATGACTTGCTGGAGAGCTGCGGCGCCGCGCAAAACTCATAGTGGCGAATTGCAACACGTATATTTGATACTGGGATTCAATATTTGGATACCGCGCGATTGTAGGCATACGCAAGTGCGGGAGCGATATCCGTCTGAAAGAGAGATGTTGTCGTTTCAATCAAAACCGACAGACAAGGGCGGATACATCGTCAGCGCGGCTGACACTCGTGTGCGCACAACGATCCCCAATATTGCTAAATTTCTGCCCATTGACGGCCGTTTGTGTTTGATAGCTATATACCAGCATAGGTGTTAATCTTGTTATCGCTAGTCAACATCCATTCGAACAAGCTCAAAAAAAAAAATTGTTTTTTTATATAGGGTGATAACATATTAATTTCTTACGGATTACATGTCGGCATTTTGCGTATTGGCGTTATTAAAGCAATATCGAGTAATAAACACTGATCAGTTAAATAACTAATACTGATGTAAAGTTATTAGTCAGATTTTATTACTTATTTTTTTTTTAGATTTATGAAATATTTCTATTTTAATTACGTGCTATATTATTTTTATTAATTTTTTAAAGTGAATTTTTTTTGTTATAAATAGGTGATATTTAAATATCA